GGGTCATTGGCAATTCATGGTTGTGCTTCCCAGAGTTTGGTTGTGTAATCCAGACATTCTGGATAAGAAGGTATTGTACGATCATGCAAATCACATCTGGCAGAGAATCATCGTGGAAGACAGACAAATGATCGTTTGTGGATATGATTCCAAATCAAAGCAACGAATGTGGCTCATCGACACAGATGATGATGGTGATGATGACACTGACAAGGATGTCACATTTCAATGTTTGAAGAATCTGCGTGAGCGTTTCCATTCCTTAGCTCTTTTGGGATGAGTTCTGGTGCTTTGGAAGGAGGAATGTGTAGACTAGAGTCCTGTACATGTAACTTTCAAGGATCCACTGGGAATACCTTTTGATTTGGTTTATGAAAAAGGTTTATTACGTCATTGCATGTACAGTGCAGAGGTTCCCCGAAACAATGGCGTATGCATAGAGCCAGAAGACGCAGACGACGAAGTTGGAGGCGGCTCAGAGAATGAGGGAGACACACCAGACATGCCTCAGAGAGAGCGAGAGAATGATGAACCCTTGATGAGAAAGGACTCAAAACTCGAGGCGATTCGACTCTTGAAGAAGAATGTTGGTGCAAAGAATGACAATGTACGCAAAAAGGCTGCAAAGGTCAACCATGCACGAGAAAAGAAGGCGAAGAGGAAAGGGAATGAAGATGAGCATGCGTCAAAGAGGAAAGGGAGAAAACAAAAAAAAAAGGTTGATGGAGGACAGACAAGGCGTTGGAAGTTCAGACCCGGGACAGTTGCACTTCGAGATATTCGTAAGATGCAAAAGTCTATGGATAGACTCATTCCCTTTGCTCCATTTGTGCGGTTCGTGAGGGAAATACTAGAAGATGACGATTGGAGGACAAGATGGGGAGAAGAAACTAGTCATCTGCCTGAATATCCCTTCTAGCTCTGAAGACGTTGCAAGAGGAAGCAAAGGCATACATTGTGCATATATTCAATTTGACAAACCAGGTAGCTATCCATTCCAAGAGAGTGACTATCATGAGGAAGGATATGCAGTTGGTTATTGAATTGAAAAAGGGGATATGTGACTACGGCACGGGCAAGATCCCGCCTCACAGAGAAAAGAGGGACCCGACAGCGAGAGAGAAGAAGGACGATCCACCGCAGGAGAAAACGGAGGGTCCGGGACAGAAGCAAAAAAAAACAGTGCAGAAGGAAAAGGAGGACCCGCCGGGAAAGAAAAACGACCCACCCCCGAAGAAAAAGGACTCGCAGGTCGCCACAGTTGCTCCAAAAACGCCAAAGACTTAACAGTTGCAGCCACAACAATCAAGAAAAAGAAAAGTTGTAGCTTCAAAACCGGCAAGCAGGAAAAAATCGAAGTCCTGAACATTGTGATGTGGGACAGTAGCCTTTGTGTCTAGATGTAGTTAGGAGTCTTAGTATGTGCAATTGTGTGATGTACATAGGGTTTCTTTGGGGCAACAGCTCCTCTTTCACTTTGCCTCGCACGTACAAGACTGGCCACGTTGCTGCTGGTTGGGTTATTTATTAACTCAAGGCGTATGTTTGCGACCATAACCTTTTTTAGTCCTAGGTACAGTCCCAGAATTCCCAAGGTTCCACGTGCCATGTACCATAGTCCAAATGGTAGTCCCTGTCGTACAGTCTGTAGGGTCTGTTCGTACAAGTTTCTGGTAGGTTGCCAGAAGTCTGTTCCATGAGAGAGAGAGAGAGAGAGAGAGAGAGAGAGAGAGAGAGAGAGAGAGAGACACACACACATGCAATGACTTGCTGATTTCTGTTGCCGTGACTAACTGCGAGGCGGTATTATGTCGTGATTGCCTGCTGAGTTTGCGGTGTCTGTTATAAAAATAGAACCGGTTCATCCCTTCGGTTGCACACACACACACACACACACACACACACACACAGAGAGAGAGAGAGAGAGAGAGAGAGAGAGATGCAGACACAGACTGACAGACAGGTAGACAAACAAACAGACAGACAAACAGACACACACACACACATGCAATGACTTGCTGATTTCTGCTAGCGTGGCTAACTGCGAGGCGGTATTATGTCGTGATTGCCTGCTGAGTTTGTGGTGTGTTTGATTGTGTGTGTCTGACTGTCCCACTTAGATCGACAGACTGTTCTAAAAATAGAACCAGTCCAGCCTTGCGGTTGCAGGCCCAGACTTCCCGGAAGTTTAGAGACCCATGGGGGCCCACAGTGGGTAGAGCCCGTAGCTGGGTAGGGGCCCAGAGGCCCGAACTGAAACGGTACCGGTAGTTCTATTTTTAGGTCCAGTAGGGTCTGGTCTGGTAGGGCCTGGTAGGCCTAGGCTAGTGTAGGCATAAGTAGAGTAGGACCGATGTAGTTAGGACTTGTTGCTTTTCATTTTCGCATCGCAGCATTCTGAGCCAAGGAAGTTTGGTAGCGGTGATGGTCTATAGGCGACATCCTGAGACTTCAGCGTGTGTAGCAGCCATAGCCAGACTCTAAGAGCTCGCCATAGCTGGCACGTCCTCTGCGCATCTACCCTTGGGGGTATCTGCGTTAGGCTGGGCTATTTCGGGATTCTTCACTGTGTGTACATGGGTGGACCATTGTTGGCCATCTCCAGTTGGGCTTCGTCAGTGGTGTGGCAGCCATAACTGCCTTCTTCTTCGTCAATGTTACTCACCGACATTGAAGACTGCATCACGATTCTTCTTCTTCATCAGGGTGGTTGGCGCTGGCCTCTGGGAGGCTGATACAGTGTAGCACTAGCACTGGGTGTGGAGTAGTGAGTGGTGTGTGGAGTATTAAGGTGGCGAGATACTGGGATAAACTCTGTAACGATAATTGGGACTATTGGTTTGAGTTGGTTCATCATAAGACCAGTATTCCAATTGTGATCTTCGCAGTTGTCATCTTGTGATTGGTTTTCGGGAGTTTGTCAGAGAGTGAGAAACACTGTGTGTCTTCTCCCCATCTGTACATGATTGAATTCCGCTGCTTATCTCTGAGTTGTGTGCAGATTGGACTCTGTCTCCTCTTGTTTATATATATAATGCATGTATGGGCGTGTGTGAGATACTCTGTGTGTGAGCGGCGAGAAAATCATCACACAACCAAGGTCATAACACACACACACACACACACACATACACACACACACACACACACACACACACATGAGAGAGAGAGAGAGAGAGAAAGAGAGAGAGAGAGAGAGAGAGAGAGAGAGAGAGAGAGAGAGAGAGAGA